GAAAACACACACACACACACAGATGATGACAAGAAGGAAAGGTCTGCTCAGGCTCTCCTCGTGTCTCTACATCATTGAATCTCTGGTTCTTTCAGAAGAGATGATCAAACCCTTGGGTTGAATCTAATTTACAATTTTCATTATCAATTAATATTTTGGTTGTTTTTTCATGAATTATTTTATGCTTAAAATGCCCAACAAAAGTATTTAGGATATAAATTTTGCTAGAAAAGCAGCAAATCCTCTTGTCCTTGAAGTTCTAACCAGTGAACGTTATAACGTTGTAATTTGTGCTTGATAAATTACTTGAACCTCAAAAAACTCTAAATTCACTGAAGACTAAATTACTAATGTTTCAGGATTGTACAGCCAGCGCGAAGCACCATGATATACTTCATAAACATAAAAACATTTGATACACACAAAATCTTTACATGTCACACAATTTTTGTAACCTCTCACTCAAAGAGCAAAATGTCATCTCAAATCTCCAAAACCATTAGCTATTTCTCAGCCTTTCACGCAGTTTTCAGTTGCGTAAAACCCTTTTTTAAAACACTACACATAATTCTCTACTTAAGTCACAAAAATCTAACAGGAAGTGACTTGCTTTCCTTTCCAAAACACAACAAATCAAAACAACACTTATTCACCAGGTCACACAGCCACTCCTTGCATGTGCAAACACTAACGCTAACATTAACTGATCACTAACCAATCACTGCTTTAGTTTACAGTAGACCTATAGGTCATTGGCCAGATTACCTGTTTTGAACAATGGATGCCTACGATGGACAGAGAGCAAGGGGCGGGGGGGGGGGGTCAACAGCAGGTTGACCATGAGAGAAGCTGGACTCAGAGTTAAGCCCAACTTGAGTCGCTTTTCATTGGCGTCCATAATTTGAACCTTCAGAAATTAAAAATTCTTTCTACAGTACATTATTGTAAAATAAGTATACATTTGTTGCAATAAAAGTAAAACTTACACTTTTGGTTTACATATGTTTATGGTTTGCTTTCCCTGTATGCTACTCACCTGTCAGCAGATTACTTTCACTCTACAACATTATATGGAAATGTACACATAAGCCTATGAAAGACAAAAGTGCTTTAGATTTGGAACAACAGTGTGCAAATGGTATATCAAAGAACTTACTATCTTGAAAAAAGTGTTTGCCATCTGATGCAAATGCTTCATTTTGGAATGTGCTTGTGACATTTTGAATGCAGTGTAGGACATTTGAGACATTTTGCATTTTGTGTGAGCAGTTGTGGGAATTGTGTGTAGAGTTTTGAAAAAAGGTGACATGGTTTTGAAAATGTGTGAAGCAGTTGGAAAAAACTGTAAGTTAGTAAACTGAAGTAACATCCTATGAAAGTACCTCTTATAACTCCATGGTAGTTTATTTGGAAATTTGATGTCATTGAACAAATAGAAATATACAATATATGTATATAGTTTTGTTGTGATGGAAGGTACAAGCTGCCATTACCTGAAGCTGTTTTGAACTAGACTTGTTTATCAGTACCACAACATTGTGCAGGCTTTGTAAAAAGCATGAATTACTGTTTAAAAGTTCAGCTTTGATGAGAAGGTCATAAACATTATTTATCGTGAAGGAATACTGATAAGGATTCAAGACTAAGGATAGTCTTGTTCCAACTTAATGGCTTGTCTGTTGGAACAGATGAGAAAGAGGCAGGAGTTTCAATGCAAAGAATTTGCGATCTATGCTTTTTAGTATTCAAAAATGATTTAATCAATGAATTGTTTCAGCACTAAACCTAACCATGTAGTTTTGTTGTCTAAACCAGACTTTTTACAACGTTAACTACTACTTTTTTTTGAAAGTTTAACCAGACATTACATATGTATTGTCGCCAACTGGACTGCGGAGCTCTAGACGTTAGTGCGTTAAAAACGCAACGCCAAGGGGTCTTGACCAAGCGTCCATATGTGACGAGAAGAGAGTGAGAATGTGTTGCAAAGGGTTTTCCACAGGTGAGCTGGCTGCCAATTTTGATTCTGAGGCTCTGTCCATCCAGGAAGGCAGGTAGAGGAAGGATAGAGTGGGATTCAGGTCTGGAGTTGCGTGAAAGACGGCTTTTGCCAAAATGAAATGAAAATGAAAAAAAGTTCAAGGAAGGTGCAGCTTTCCACTGTTTTATCGCCTTTATCTAACTCACATAGTGTGTTGGTTTTGTTCTTATTTAGGCAGAGAAGTCTTATTTTCTACTTCTTTTGTTTTGTTGCCCAGTAGTTAGTCCCTCGTTTAGGAGGGATCTCTTTTGATAATATTGTTTTCATTTGTTTACGCAGCACCCACTAGCCCATTTTCCATTTGTAGATGTTGGTGAAACTCTCGCCTTCAAATATTCAACTTCCTTTTACTAAGAACAACTGGTTTACGTGTACGTCTCTTTGGGTTCTCTCCGGGTGCTCCGGCTTCCTCCCACCGTCCAAAGACATGTGGCCTAGGTTAACTGGTGGCTCTAAATTGTCCTTAGGTGTGCGTGCGTGCATGGTTGTTTGTCTATGTGTGGCCCTGCGATGTACTGGATGTACCTCACCTTTCACCCGATGTCAGCTGGGATTGGCTCCAGTCCCCCGTGACCCTGTATGCAGGATATGCGGTTGACCTCATTTTTAAGAACCCGTGTTGAATCAGTCAGGTCGATTATTCAAGATCCAACTTGTGAGCCTCCGGTTAAGTATTGTTGTTCACCAGCATGTTTTAAGTGTCACATGGTGTAACCACAGTTTCAGATGAATTGAAGGGGAACTCTGATCTTTACTACAACACACACACACACACACACACACACACGCACACAATAATCGCCTGGAGGAATCAGTCTCCATTTGACACTATCACAAGTTCACTAGAAAAAAGACATCTTCCATGCTGACAAAAGAAGCCTTGAGCTAAATTCGGTTATTATATTTAACCCCTCTGTCATCCTGAGGTCACGGATGGTTGTCACTTTACTGCACAGTCTGCTGTGACTCAGATGACTTGTAGCATTATTAATTTATTTGACGTATTGTTTATTTACAGTTAGACAAATAAATTAGCTTAGATTTATGAGTTGAATTGAACTGACCTTGAGTTACAGTGAAATTGCAAAAAGAAAAGTGGGATACCAAAAGTATATAACAATACAATTGTTCCCATGACGCCTCTGCAGGGGCCCTGACAAACAGCAGGAAGACATGATCCCTTACCGGCTTCCCACATCATCAACTGACTATTGTATTTGTTAGAAAGGCCAGAAGCAATGCTCCTTATATTTCCATTTAGAATTTTGTGTTAAAAGACGTGAATGGACACACAACACATAAGTGCAGTGTAGGTATACAGTATCTAGTCTATGTACTGCTGAATCCAAAAGGAGAGTCCTACATTTGTCTTATTTATTTATCATGAGCGTTTTTGTCTTCAATACGTCTTCTGTTTCTATATCAGCAGAGTGACACGTGTTATTTTGTCATTTTTATAAATGTCTTGTGTATCCAATCAATAATGCAAACTAAAAAAATAAATAAATTCATAAAAGTAATGACACATTTCATATTAAAGGAGCAGTGCAACATTTTAGGTCATAAGCAGTGAGCTGGTATACAGGCATTGTTTTAGACAGAGTGTGAGGAGCAAGCTTGTTAAAGTATGCACGTAGAGTCCTCTGATGTTTGACTGGTCCACCAATAGGGGAGAAGTTAATCACTTGACACACAGCCCCTCCTTATTTGCATAATGAGGCAGAAATGCATAGAGAAAAGTAAAAAGGACATGCAGAAATAAATACCATTGGGGAAATAAATAGGGCAGAAATGCAAAGGAAGAATAAAACAGACAAAATAATAAACACACACATAAATAAATACATTTAAAAGTAATTAATAAAAAAGTTGAAGATGATAACGGACAATAAATAAATAAGGTAATTATTATAAAGGTGAATAAATAAATATTAAAATATATATACATTTATGTCTCATTGTATAATTTAATTACTGCCTACATTTATTTATTTACTTTATTTTTTGAGCATTTAATCAGATGCTTATTTATTTATTGAGCATTTAATTATTTCTGTATTTATTTCTTAATCTGTCAGGATCAGTCCTCCATACTCATTTAACTCTTGGTAAGAAAAAGCATACTTCCAGAAATGTCAAACTATTCCTTAAAGTAAAATGTAGCAATGAAGATCACAAATTACTAAGAGTTACAAAAGAGTTGCTGCTCTTTAAATTATACGATATTATTAGAATTATTATCTGTATTCAGCACAAGTTGATGGAAACAATAGTTATTTGATGATTGGCTTGCTGACTTTTTTGGAACTTTGTTTAAAAATTGGACAAAATGTATATGGGAACTTTCTATTTATCTATTTTCTCGCACTTAGAGTGTTCAAGCCTACCGGTACTTTAAATTTAAGTTGGTTCTCAGTCACACTGACAAAGCGACCGAACACAGAGACGAAGTGAGACAGAGAGAGAAGGAATGCAGGACTGGGACCTGCAGCCATTGTGTCCTCATACAATATCTGACTTCCTTTAGATGCCAGACACCACAAACACACACACACGTACATACATAAGAGTTGAATAGCAGGCAGCAAGGCACCAGGCCCATTTCCTCTGCTGCAGATGTAGGCGATGGAGAAAGAGAGAGGGAGGGAGGGAGGGAGAGAGAGGGAGAGAGAGAGGGAGAGAGAGGCTGGTACAAACTACAGTCTCACATATTTCAGTTCAGACCTCTGGACACACACTGCTGTCATCTGTCTGCTGCTGGACCACCTGTCTCACTTTCAAATCAACTGTATTTCTTTGTACACTTGTTCATCTGTTTGTTTCGGTGTTTTTGAAGCCGTTCTTCTTCATTCAACTTAAGTTGGACAGCAACACACAAAAGTTGCGACTAGGGGAAGACATTAATACACATAAAACAACTGGAAGACACTTGAACCGGTGCAACCACCTCTATCTTCGGCTGCTGGCCGCTGAGGTTCACTGGAAGGGGAAGAAATGCCTTGCTCAAAGGCAGCTCAGTAAAAACTCCTGAGGGAGAGGAGAGCAGCCGCTTTACCAACTTTGTCAAGATTTTCTCAGGACTACTGTGATTCCCTGCCTCTTACTCCTAAATCAGGTAAAGTGTGTATATTCGTCCACCAGGTAGATTCTTAAACACAACCATTGAATAGTTTGGCAACTAAACACAAATTTCAAGTATTTAAATTTGATTCAACTTTCACCATTTTTGAGTTTCCTTATTAATCATCCCTGTCATAGTAGAACTAAATACATTTACTCAACTACTGTACAAATTTGAGGTACTTGTACTTGAGTATTTTTCTATTTTATGCTACTTTATACTTCTACTCGACACCATCTCAGAGACAGATATTGTACATTTTACTTCACCACATTCGTCTGCCGGCTTTTGTTACTTTCCAGATTACAAAAAGTAACGAAAGCCCTCTTGTCTTGTGAAAACCATGTATCTCCAAAGTTGGTGATTTTGAATTAGAATCGTTCTGATAAACTAAAGGATAAAGTTTGTTTATGATGAAGTCATCCTCCTTCTTAAGCTAAATAAACAATTTGAACCCCTCCTGGATCAGCGGAAAAATGCATCGTCACAAAGCTGGAAACAGGGCTGTTTCTGAGCTCATGAAAAGTTCACTTTTTAGAGATATGTGTTTCTCACAAGACAGCAACATTACAAAATATTTGATCTTATAGAATATGATGCTTTGCTGTAGATTAAATTACCCAACAGCATATAAAAGTGTTTAAACGAGCTCAACAACAAACATCTGCTGCAGTAAATGCAACTTAGACATTAATGCAGCAGGAAAATGAATCTAGAAACATCAGATATAACAGAGAAACACTGACAGGGAATATTTTACTGAGTACTTTTATTTAAGTAAGGTTTTAATTGCAGGACTGTTATAATGTAGTATTTTCACAATGTCGTATTACAGAGTACTTTTACTTAATTAAAGGATCTGAATACTTCCTCCACCACTGGAAACAACTAACTCTCCACTCAAACTAACATTTGTGACATTTCTCAAAAAGCATTTTGAGAAAGTGCTCAAAACAGCCATGTTAGGCCTATAAGTTAGGTGTTAACATTTAAATGCAGAAACAAGAAAACCATCGCAGGTTTAACAGGCAGAGTAGCTGTGGTCAGGAATCAGCCGCTGTCATCATAAACAAAGTGCACCTCCGATATCTGATATCCGATATCTGATGTGTCAGTGACAAACAGGCAGACAGATGATTTAATAAGGCCGTATTCTGGCAAATAATGTCTAAAGTTCTTCAAACTTGTGTTAAGATTATTTCCTTCCAAACTTCTTAGCATGAGGGGAAAAACAAAATATAAATAAACCAAACAAATGTTATTTGTAAATGTTTCAGGAATCAGTGAAAAAAAAGGCTTTTTGATTAATGTGAACACATTTGTTATCATGTTGACCTATTAATACCTTGTAAAATATATATAGTGTAAGTTATAAATACTGTTTATTATCAGACTAAAAACATCCTCAGGTCTAACGGTTTATCATTTATTATTGTAAACCAGCAGAGGATCTTTGGGTGTGTGTGTTCGCCCGTTATCAAGACAGGATGCAGAACAATGCTGAGTGCTGGGTAATAGGCACACATACACACAAACACGGACACACACGTTTGCAAAGGTCAGGCGAAAGTCTATACAAGGAAGTAATATTGTTATTAATGATGCTGGGAGCACTTGTGAAAGACATAAATACACACAAATATACACACACACCAGTTTGTTCAAAGCTATTGGGTTTTACAAAAACAGGAAGGGAGGGGCATTTAAGGGACATTTAATAAATAAGGGACTATCAATGGTTTAATGTCTTTTTTTCCCCACAGGCAAAGTTCGTTTTAGTCTTGTTCATAGCTTTTTATTTGAAATTAGGACCGTTTGAACCATGAGTCTTCTGAAACAGACTTTAATAATTGAATCCTACAGTTAAAAAAATACAAGTTGAAGTTATCTATTAATGATATAGATCAGCGATCAGTCACATGTGCGGCCCCACCATAAACATGTGTTTGGCTTGTTGTTGATCCACTGGATGTTTGAGCTTCACTGTACAGAATGATGCATGTGCAGATACGCATCTGCTGAAGGAGGAACGTTTCTCTGTGCTCAACTAAAATTTCAATTTAAGACATGGCTGTACGAGCAGGACTTTGTCACATTACAATTCTGCAAGCCAATCAGGATCCAGTATGCAACTTACACAAGTGTCATGTGGAAACTTAAAACCTGCTGTGCAGATATGAAAATGAACTTTCAGTGAAGTAGGAGACATCTGGCGTGCAGCAGCTAAACTTTTCAAACAGGCAATATTTCCATATTCAGCCCATCGTCACCTCAAAAACGGCCATGTAAGTTGTTTATTAATTCAATTCAATTCACTTCAAATTAGCTTTATTGGCATGAATGTGTAACAACAAGATTGCCAAAGCATCATATATACAACACCAAAGAGGTGTTATATCAATTATCAATTATTATATAGCTTATTATGACCCCTATTTGCAATTTCTGGTAGGCCGCAACCTCCAGTGGCAGAAGAAGTCAGGTGACGTAGTATAAAGAGCAACAAAGAGGGTGGTGGGGTGGACGGATGTGTCAAGTTAGCTAAGGACTTTCACTCAGGAGAACGATGTTCGAGTCCTGTATAGAAGAAAGTCAAAGATGACATGTTAATAACATTTTGTAGATGACTCACCTCATGTGACTAACTTTACTTATGTCACGTGATGTATTTATTTAACCCAAACCAACTTTCCAACGGACATAGATGTCGTTTAAGAACACTTGACAATTAAGCTATTTTGACATTTGGTATGAGGACGTGTTGGCATATTCATAGATTCTGGATATTTGTCCACGAGGGAGAACGAGTGGATGTCATTTAGAGAATTTGTAACAAGATTATTGAACTTTGTTGTGGAAAAAAAAGCTCAGACACACATTAGTATTCAAAGCAGAGCATCTTTATATGCCTTTTAAAAAGTATACACTGGAACAGTGTATACTTTTTAGTTGTGAGTTGTTCACTAGATAACCCAAAGAACAAAAGTGGCAACAATATTCATCCGATCACACTAAAAATATCTAGAGATGCAGTTCTCTTGTGTGCCTTTCTTTCTCCTCTTAATAATCTACCCCACGCTGCTATTCTGGCCAAGAGATAATTTATCTCAAGGGACTTAAATAAAGATGAAAAAAATAATTTTTTTATTAACTTACAACTATCTAAAACATAAATGGGAACAACATGTGCTTTTGGTGTCAGGGCGAAGACTTCTTAAAAAACCTTTGCATTGACTTTCAGCTGTCTTACAGGGAGAATTGCGGGGGAGGAGGAGATTTTCTGTAATAATAAGTAACAATGCAATACATGTAACCTTTTAGTCTCTTTTTTATAACTCTACATCAAAGTTATGAGGAAATTACCTCTTACTGAGTCATTATTACAAAACACAACATCACTGGAACGTGTCATGCAGTCAGATTACCGGGAAATTTACTTTCTTGTTCTTCAGCGAGCACTTACTCCCTGGACAAAAACTTTTTTAACTTCACTTCTGGTTCTAATGAACACCAAAGCCTCTTTAGGGACTGCTAGCCAAGCTTCAGACTTCTGGTCTTATTTGTGTTTTACAGAGGAGGAAAACAGTAGTAGTACACACAGCATACATAAACATACCCACATATCCACAGTGACAGAGAGAAGGACAGACTATGTGTGGTTTACAGTCGACGTCTAGTTTTCCTTCCCCAGAGACAGACGGAGGGAAGTGTGGGAACCGAGTATGAAGCTAAACTAAGACATGGGCGCAGACATTTTTATTAATGGGGTCGAGGCCAGGGTGGAGAGAGGGTCACGGGGTCAAGATAATATAACACACACTACACACACTTGCTAACCACCATCAGACACCAAGCAGTCAGGTTGCAGCAACAACCAGAACAAACTGTGTTCTTCAGTGGTGTTTCCATCCAAATTTAGTGCAAATATTTTATGAATTTTCAGATCATTGGCAAAAGAAAAAGTGAATTTATGTGTGTTTTATGACTGCATATTAGGGCCATCGTGGTTTTGTGCAGGCGGATATGGGGCAATAATCTGAAGAAAAAACACATTCTGAAATTAAAGTCTTACATTTATGAGAAAAAAGTGGCACTTTATTACTTTATTATTAATGCAAGACAAGAGTCAGTGCAGGCATAAGAGGGGGGGCCAACAAAGCCACAGATCTTAGCCAGTTTTTTATGGTTTTGGTCTTTGAGATGGTATCTCATGATACTTGTTGGCTAAGTAACAAATTTTCTGCCTCAGTGTCCTGTCTTTGGTCTAGGACAAGCCAGAGATTCTTGTTCTCACCTCTTTCTTCACCTCCTCCTCCTCCGCTCTACTCTTGCTCCGCGTCCTCCTACTCTTCCTCATTCATTTAAAGAACATTACTGTCTCCTTATCAGTCCACACTGATCTGGGCGTTTCCTGCTAACAATTGATCTTAGTTAAAAGAGTTTTCTACGAAAGCTCTTAGATTTCTACTTATGCTTCTAACTGTATGCTTAAGTCTATATAACATACTGCAGTCACAATATCTCACATCTTGTATATCTTCTTATTGTGCAGCCCTTTAAGAATAACAAAACATTTTAATGTAAATTTAAAAAATAAATCCAGAGGTCTGTGTGTGAGTTTTAGTGACATTGATATTCTATCAAAACAGATATAACGTTCAATGCAACAAGCTAACAGGTTCTGTATGTTTAAAGGTGGCTGTTTGCTTTATCTAAGGAACACGTTTTCACACTATCTGAGTTTTGGCATTCTGGAAAATGTGGGAAATAACTAACCGAAGCAAAAGTAGATCGTGGATAGGCAAAAATAGATGCATAATCTATGTAGAATAGTTTTACACAAATAAGTCCCAACATTTATTGAACATAATAAACAATTTGAGATATACATTGGTGCAGCAGTATGTAAGGGTGGAGAGCGCTGTAACATTTTCTTTGGCTGAAGTCTCGTACATATTTGTCTCTGTCAACAAATGAGCCACCTGACCCTGCTGCAGACATGACACCTGTGTGTGCTGTCTGTTCCTCAGGTGAGTCTCTTACCTGCAAAGTGACTGCTGAGAATAAATCTGAGCTGAGCCTGTGATCGGTCATGGCAGACTGGAGCCTGCTGGGAAACTTCTTGGAGGAGGTACAAGAGCACTCTACCTCTGTCGGCAAGGTATGACACACAAACAGACCGTACATGTACACACTGCACATACTGTATACCAGCCAGCGCGGCACCAGAGTGACTTCCTCTGGACATGCTGGGAAAAAAGATAAACAGACATAAACATACTCAAAATAAAACATACTCAAATAATACAGTAGTATATTTCTAAAATCATCATGTTTTTATTTTGAGCATCCTGACCCATTGTCTAATTTAATAATAAGCAGAAGTTTATGTTAGCATGGGTATGTTTGTTTACATTGTACATCCCTAGAAAAAATCATTAAGCTTTAAAATAATCTAAAATAACAACAAAATGTTTTATGTAACTGCCTCAAAAATACCCCAATACCTGTTCATATTATCTTAAAGTAATGCTTCTATTATAATTTCTCCTCACACATTATTTTTTATTTAATTTAAACTTTATTATCCTTGAGTACTGAAACAAAATGCGTGAGCAACATGTAATTTAGTCATTCAGTCATGTAGACAAAACCTTTTTATGGCATTTTCAAAAATCCTCATTACCTCATTAGTTCTGTACAGTATCCATATTATTGTTTCTGATGGCTTGATATTTATTTTTATATATGTTATAAATATCTTATTTGCTGTTTTTCTCTCCACAGGTGTGGCTGACCATCCTGTTTATTTCCGTATCCTGGTGCTCGGTACTGCTGCCGAGTCATCATGGGGAGACGAACAGGAAGATTTTGACTGTGACACTGAACAGCCGGGTTGCGAGAACGTTTGTTACGATCAAGCTTTCCCTATCGCACATATACGATACTGGGTAATAAACACAACCTAACGTCATGTGATGAATACGAGATAAAATGATGTGGGAAAAGGCTACAAGTCGCATTTACTTTATGGTGTTGCTTACCAATGTTTAAAGTATGCCACAAGTTTTAAGCTTTCCTTTTATTTCAGTACAGAAAATTAACTTGCAGCTGCTGGGTCCTTGTTTTTTTATATCACAGCTAATATTACACCCTTTTCTTTATGCGCTTCTGCAGATGCAAGCAAGGACTGATGTTGCATTTAAGGAAACTCTACCATCTAGATTTGTGAAGTCTTTTACATAACCTAATCATATTATAGAACATGGGTCATGGAGAAGATGTGAGAAGTCTCAGATGTTAGCACGCCTGCTTGTACCAGCATTACCATTGCAGTGACCAACATACTAAACTGGATGCACTGAAAGGCAAATCTCCCTCTAATTGAAACATGAAAGACCAGTTTGAATGGATATTCAGAGTCCTGCAAGTTGAAATTGGGGCATGGGAAACAAAACAAATTTGCAAGACATATCACACATTATCATAGTTGAATCTGGGAGCAGTAAGAATGCAATTAATCTTCATATTTATGGTGTGTTTTTACGTGGTTAGCAGTGATGCATAGTCTTTTAGAAATGGTAAATTGCCTCAAACTTGTTAGCTTCGTCATTTAATTTTAATTCAACTGGTTTTAATTACAAATCTTGCTCGTCTCCTCCCAGGTGCTCCAGATTGTGTTTGTGTCCACTCCAAGTCTGATCTACATGGGCCACGCCATGCACACTGTTCGCAGAGAGGAGAAGAGGAGCAGCAGAGAGGAGGGGGAGGGAGGGAGGAGGACCCAGGAGGAGGTGACGGGAGGAGGAGGAGGAGAGGAGGAGAGGAGGGGAGGAGAAAACAGGGGAGGGAAGGAGAGGAGGTTGAAGGAAATGAGAAAAGCGAAGGTCCATCAGCAGGTCGAATCCGTCTGAAGGGAGCGCTGCTGAAGACCTACATACTGAGTATTCTGATACGAAGCATCATGGAGGTACATGATACAATTACTGCTGCTGCCCTACTACTATCAGCTCTGTGGGTAAATAAAAAAGTTTTAGTTTTGAGGCACATTTACTGTTTGGTTCAGTACAGCACCCATTTCTAGCAGCAGTAGGCAGCTGTTTTCAGCAAACCAGCATTGATAATGTTGATGTTGAGGCAGAAGTACAATTAATTAACAAGTTATGGTTTCCCTTTTTTTTATTATTATTTTGTTATTAGTGATTAAGTAAAGCAGATTATCTCTTATCTGTGCTCCATTGTGTTGTACATTAGCCATGACAATCTAACATACTGCATGATATATCATGATAATCCAAGGAAGGTTAAGATCAAGAGCAACTGGACTTGGTTATAGAGACTCGAAGCAGTTCGCCCCTTTCTTAGATGAGGGACGAAACGTCTTTGAGTATCCTCAACCAAGTCCAGTTGTCTCCCTGATTTTAGCCTTCCTTGGATTACTAAGACCCGGATGAATGATAACCTTTGAAGATATCATTATAATGGTATTTTAAACCAAAACGTACTTGAATGAGAGATTAAAGCAAAAAGGAGAA